TGATGTCACACCCTCCCCTCAGGTTAAGAGTCTTGGTGTCATCCTCGACAGCACTCTGTCCTTCACAGCACATATAAATAATATCACTCGGTCTTCCTACTTTCATCTCCGTAATATTAACCGTCTTCGTCCCTCACTCACACCTCACAGTACCGCCATACTTGTCAATGCTCTTGTCACATCTCGTCTGGATTGCTGTAATTCTCTTCTCTATGGTTTACCTCATAAATCATCCATAAACTGCAGTTGGTTCAAAATACAGCTGCTCGTATTATTTCCAGAACTAGATCCACTGAACATATAACACCAGTTCTTAAACAGCTCCATTGGCTCCCAGTTCACCTCCGTGTCAAGATCCTGCTTCTCACTTTCAAAGCGCTTCATAACCTCGCTCCTCCATATCTATCCGATCTTCTCCACACATCCTCGCCCCTCCGTACACTCCGCTCTTCCTCAGCTTCCCTTCTGTCAGTTCCACCTGCTCGCCTGACTACCATTGGACTCAGAGCCTTTAGTTGTTCTGCCCCGAGACTTTGGATGCACTTCCACTTGCTCTCCGGACCACACACTGTCTCACCACTTTTAAATCACTACTCAAAACCCATCTGTTTAGAATTGCATACACCTGATCTGTCTTAGGCCATTTTTACCTGCTCAGTTTTTATATTTGCTTTTATACTTTTATGACTGTTTATGTCTAAATTTTATCTGCCATGTTTGCTATTTATACATGTTTCTTATGTTTTTTATGGTATTGTTTACGTGCTACTGTAAGGTGACCTTGGGGGTCTGAAAGGCGCCTATAAATAAAATCTATTATTATTTATTGTTATCCGGTTGTTCAGTCTGACGTCACTAGCCGTGTCTGGGCCTAAACTCCGCTGCAGGTCCATATATCAAACGATCACTGTGGCATTACTGAGAGTTGAAAAACTGTCTAAAGTCTTTCATCTTTAATAAAATGATCAGCGTTCTGCTCTACCAGGTGTAACAATTGAGTTTAACATCCAGGCATCCATGAAAACGGAATTTATGACATTTAACGGAGTTAGAAGTTAGCAGGGTGTTAGCTCGCTAGCTTCTATCTAAATACAATATAGCATGTCCTGACTGCGGGGTTTTGGAAACAAATTAAAACGTACAGCTCTGTTATCACTTCCAGCATAAATGAAGACAGAAAACTAAACAGCAGTGACGTTTGTAGGGTTACTGAAGTTTGGCTAGCTGGTATATAATGATGTGCTACGTGACCGCTAGCGACACAGCTATGTTAGCATAATATAAACAAGCTAACTTTTTTTCCACTGGATAAAAGTTAACGTGAGTGTTCTCGGTGGTCAGGAACAAATGTAATCGCATGGCAGGATGCTGTAAAAGGACCAAACTTCAGCCAGGAGAACAACTGAGATAATCCATCCACAATACGAGGTTAGTCATTCATATACTGCTGCATGGGCTGGGCTGTAGTTACATCCTAAGGTTTTAAACACTGAGCTTAAATAAATGATTAGCGGTAATAAAAGCCGAGGGAGGTCAACGGTGATCACTGACTGTTTTAGGAGCTTTTTGAGATTAAATAGAAGAAAATACATAACATTAAACATGTTAACAACACAAAAGCCATATTAAACGCAGACTACTTTAGGCCCGGAAGTAGGATTCGTCGTGTCATCCCTGAACAACCGGATAGTTTCTTTCAGTGTTTTGGAATTTTGGTTTCTTTACAAAATAAATTCAGGTGAAACTACATTTTCATGGAGCAGCAGTTTTCTGTCACGCTTGTTTCAGATAAGCTGTCGAGCTGTGAACCAAAGACTGAACAGACTGGGTCACTGCAAATCTGTGTGATGGAAATACCTATTTATTGATTATATCACATATGTGTTTATTGCACACGGTCGTGAGACAGTTGGAGACATCCAGGCACCGTTTATCGGGTTAAACAGATGGTGGAGCCTTTTGTTCTTGGCACCTTGGGGGGGACCAGCGTAGCAGCGCCCTGCTGAAGGCCCACTCGCTCTCATCCACACCAGAATAAAGGTGTCGATTACAGCTGACTGTGTCTGTGGACTTTGTTAATTAAACTTCCGCCACACCTGCACGTTTCACGATCAAAGCCCTGTTTAAAAAAAATGAAAGGATTCTGGTGATATTCCTTTTTTATTATGATTATCCACAAATACTTCAAAGCTCAAACTAACATTCACTGCGTCCTTCTAACAAGCATAGATCTGTGTGTGTAACCTATTTATTTAGACTGAAGCTACATGCAATGTTTGCTAGCATTTAATTGGAGGAACAATCTGGATTCATTTACCCTAACATGTGTGACCAGAGGCCTGGATTTTGGCTTATCCCAGTAACTTCAGTGTAAACTCAGACGAGCAGACTAGGCATGAAATCACCGCCTACTGACCAATCAATTCTCAGAAATAGCGTCACCTGGAAAATCTCTCTGCAGGAAGGTTTAATAGGCTTTTCAGTTGCATCTAAAGTCTTTGTGTTTCCATGATAAGCAAGCGAGTGTGAGATCCTGCATTCAAGGTGGAAGGCCAAAGCGGGCCAGCAGAGAGGCGAGTGTGAGAGCCTGAGACCAGGCTGGAGGGCTGGCATAGATCAGGAGGGAGGCAAGTATGAGAGTGCAGAAAGGCTAGAGAGAGAGGAGGGCCTGCGAGAAGGTTGCAGGGCCTCTGGAGACCGGGATGGTGAATGGACAGCATAAAGAGATGGAGGCTGATGCAGCTCAGAGGATGAAGCACTTGTTAACAGGAGCACAAATGTGACTTAAAACAGACGAGACTTTGATAACACCATCTTGAATGCCAGCTTTATGTTGACTTACCCTGACTTTAAGATTTGAGTGCCTTAGGAACAGGAAAAGCAGAAACCATACGTAGAAGAAGAGAAAGCACAGAAACAGGATGGACTGCGGGTCAGCGGTCCATTTGTGGAAAAGAGGAGCTGAAAACACCAAAGGCACACATTTCCTGCCTATATATTTCTTTAGTGATGAGCTTTGAAATGTGGCCATGGAACATTATGAACAGAAATAGAAGCTTGCAGGTTCTAATTGAAAGCCTATCCTAAATTGGATCTTGAATTCGGGACAGGTGATATGGTGACAGCCAGAATTTGCCAAGGGGAGGATTTAGCCCTCAAAAAATGTCACTCATCCAAGCAATCTGAGTATGAACGACTGGAAAAGGGGCTACAAGGGATCACTAAGGGTTTTGTCTTAGGCAGCAGTTGTCCTTCTCTCCTGGACGGCCTGGAGCTTTCGTTGGGTGCCCTCCCAGCTGGGATAACTGCATTTACTTGATGTGATATTCTTCTGCTTCACTGGGCGCTACATCTGGTGACACCCAGTTTGTGCTTCTGTGGATGTGTCAAGCTGATCCATATGCACTGGTTTACAGTACATCATCAATGTCCCCCCTTACTCACCGTCTGCATATGATTGATCGTGAAACTGACCTCCCAGCCCATTGTTCCTTCAGTGGGCTGGTTTCAGTCACTGTGCAAATGTCCTGTTTATAAGATTGAAAGCTGCAGTCAGCTGAGACTGAAGACATCACCTGATGAGTGAAAACGCGACGCCCTGATGAACTGAATCAACCTTTGGAACATGGATGACTGAGCATGCATCAAGATGGAAAGCACATCACAGCAATTAAAATTCTGAAATGACCTCTTAACTATTACTGACTCCGGGAAATCTGCTGCTTTAGTACTTTTAGACCTTGGTTCTGCTTTTGATATCATATATTATGGTGTCCTTATCTCCTGGCTGTAGGACTTAGTGGGCATCAGAGGGACTGCACTGGAATGGTTTCAATCTGATTTTACTAATCACCTTTGGCTCTGCTTTTAAAGCTCTCCTCACTGAGGACAGGTAGCTAACAGGTGACCAGTTTGTCACACAACCATTCACACTCATGGGAAATTTAGACTCACCAATTACCTAACTACTAATGGCATGTCTTCAGACTGTGGGAAGAAGCTAGCTACCAAAAGGAGGACCTACACAAACACGGGAAGAACATGCAAACTCCAGGCAGATGACGGATTTGAACCTAGGACCTTCATTCTGCGAGGTAACAGTGCTACTCGCCATGGCACAGGGTTAGGGTTAGTCTAAAGCACCAATAAAAACTCAAAACTGAAATTTGTGCTGCTATTTTCTGTGCTGTCTAAGTTCAACTCAATTCAATTTTATGTATATAGTCACAACAACAGTCACCTCAAGGTGCTTTGTATTGTAAGGTTGACCCTACAATAATACATACAGAGAAAACGCAACAATCATATGACCCCCTATGAGCAGCACTTTGGCGACAGTGGGAAGGAAAAACTCCCTTTTAACAGGAAGAAACCTCCAGCAGAACCAGGCTCAGGGAGGGGCGGGGCCATCTGCTGTGATTGGTTGGGGTGAGAGAAGGAAGACAGGATAAAGACATGCTGTGGAAGAGAGACAGAGGTTAATAACTGATATGATTCAGGGCAGAGAGGTCTGTTAATACATAGTGAGTGAAGAAGAAACACCCAATGCATCATGGGAATCCCCGGCAGCCTACACCTATTGCAGCATAACTAAGGGAGGATTCCTAAGGAGTCCAGCCCTAACTATATGCTTTAGAAAAAAGGAAAGTTTGAAGCCTAATCTTGAAAGTAGAGATAGTGTCTTGAAACCTTGATGAAGCTAAAAGTTAAATATCACAGTCTCAAGAGTGAATGATAGAAGTTACCAAATCAGAATTTTCTGCAGGCTTTCAAACCTGCACTGGTACTAATATAGCACTCCATTTAAATACTGAGAGTTCTTTCTACTACAGGTCACATACATCCAAGCATACACACTCATGCTTCAGTATTTTGCCCAGGAATACTTTGACACAGAGACAGGAGGAGCTGGAGATCGATCGACCATCCTTCCGATTGGTAGGCAAGCTGCAGTATCTTCGCAAGAACCTTCTTTTCAGCACAAACATTATAGGACTCACCCCCTCCACCCGATGGTAAGGCCCAGCAGAGTTCTCCAGGTCCAAAAGGACACCATTGAGAGACCATGTGAAGGTAAGATCCATAGCTGCATCATGGGAGGCATGGCACTGGAGCGTCACATTCTCGCCCTGATTTATGTCGGCATTAGAAGGGGCCAGCGTGATCTTGGTGGCATCTGTGAGGGGGTAAATAGTTCTGATTAGCAAGACCTTGTCCAAATGTCTGAAGATACCAAAATAAAAAATAAACAAGTCTGACAGTTTGGAAAATGTATTCATAGATGTTCTTGTGTACCATTCAAATGCTTTCTTGTTTTCTTCAGTCAGCGGTGCAACATGTCCTGGCCTTACAGAGGGCGTTTTTTAAATCGACAAACAAACTCGTTTTTTCCAGGATAAATGAAGAACTTCTAAATAAATGAGACACCATTTCCTCTCCAGCTTATCTGGAGGGGTATTGTTGGGTTTGATTATTATTTGGGATTAATATAATTAAAAATCTTTTACTGATTGAATAATTATGTAGAAACCTGCAGAAATATCAGTGAAAATGTAAGAATGTGTGGGGCAGATGTAGACATGATAACTGGTACCAGCAGCTTCTCCCCACCAGATTGAACCGGTTAGATAGACAGATGCACGTTCTCATGTAAAACTCTGCCAGGGGGTCACTCTCTTTTGGGAAGACTGAGTGTTTTACGCCTGTGGTTTTCTAAACAGACCAGTTCCATGTACATGATACATTTTAATTATTCAATGCTTTAATAAATAGTAATCAAAAGAAGAAGTGTTTTACTGGTGATTCGTCAGGGTGGATAAACAAACATGTTAACAGCTATCTGCCTTAAGGTGCGCATTTAAGGTCACCAGGTCAAATAATTCTGATTGGAGGCTTTCTTTTTCGGAGGAGCCGCAGTAGTGAACACAAGACAATCAACCACTGTGGGACTAGAGCAGCGGTCCCCAACCCCCCGGTTTTCGGACCGGTACCGGTCCGTGAGTCGTTTGGTACCGGGCCGCGAGAGTTGAGGCTCAGGTGTGAAATGTATGGTTTTCAGGGTTTTTATCGGTTTTCAGCGTTATTTTGTTATTGTTTTTATCGTTAACTCGGTTTTCCTGGGTCTTTTCACGTGTGTTATGAATAAATCTTCTTTTTTTCTGTACTAGTTTTATTTTGTTGTATTTATCTGCGACACCTTAAAGGCCAGTCCGTGAAAATATTGTCGGATATAAACCGGTCCGTGGCTCAAAAAAGGTTGGAGACCGCTGGACTAGAGGACTCATATCCTTTCATTACAGGGACACTGGTGTTCCAGCAGTCTCCAGTTCACGTACACTTTTTTGAATTGGTGGGTTGATCTGTGGCTCCTCCAGTCTCCATGCCAAAACTAAGTTTGATTAAGACAGTGAACCCTGAGTTCCTCCTTTTGCATTCATCAGAGTCTGAATGTTATATATTGTCTCGTTCATGCTTGATACAGTCGAAGGTTCAGGACCACTCAGTTCTATTAATTTACGAGAATGCGTTTTCAAACATAATTACATTTCAATGAAATAATTAATTCATGGACGTGTGTCAGAAGAGAACACAAGCAATCCAAAGTGCACAGTTAAGCTTATCTCGACTTTGAGATGATTATAGCGACTAGCAATAGGAACAAAGGCTTCAACTCACTGACATGTGGCATGAGGTTGTTTGTTACTTATGGCTGAGTTGTTGAGTTGTGTACCTCTCACAGACAGGTGTCCAGTGCTGTTGGCTTTGCCGAGGTAGTTTTCAGCAAAGCAGGTGTACTTTCCTTCATCTGCTCTGCTGATGTTATAAATCCACAAGATGCCATCTGGAGTTACTGCGATTCTGAGAAAAGACACAGTACAATATAACCCTTAATTTAATCTAAAACATTGTATGTGTTTGTACATGGAAAACTTAACTTATTCCAAGTTGTCTACGGAGCTTAGAAAGAAAGAAAGACAGCGACTGGACTTCTTAAAGGTTCGTGAAGACATTTCTTTCCTCGCCTAAGAGGTGTGTTCAGTGCTAAAACCAAATGTTTAAGAGTCCCAGGTATTTAAACTCTAGAGGGGTTGACCCTTTAGTCGATACTATTTATCATTTACCTCATCACATGAGCCAAGGTGTCATTTCCACCAGAGGTTTCAGGTGAAACCACTGTGAGCCCTTCTCCCACCATGTGACCTACTTAAGTCACCTAACGCAACAGTCAGTACGAGACTTATCAGTCTTTTAAGTGTTGTGGATGTTATACATGGTTATGCTGAGGATATGTCTGCCAGTTTTTACTGGAAATGCCTTTTGTTAGTGAGGAATTTGCATTTGCACTGTTACATTTTTATATTTTTACTGAAGAAAACAGCTGCTTGTTTCAGTGAAAATACATTGATGGGTTTTTTTGCACTAATAAAGTTGTGGAGTTGTAAAGTATTTTGTCTCACGTCAATTATGTTGTCAGTTATATCGTTATCGCAAATTTCCAAATATATATCGTGATAAATATTTTTGGCCATACTGCCCTGCCGTACGCTCAAATTAAACTTTTCTTTGCTCAAATTAATTTTCTCCCCAAAATGCAATGTTTGTATACAGGCACAAACATAACACCATATAATAATATGAAAACATTGGTTTATATGTTAACATTGGTTTATTTTGAGTGTTTTTCTTCTTCATGGGAGGCACATACATTGTTCCATATGCTGAAGTTGAATGCTTTTTGGCAAGTGCTGTTGTGCAATACATATAAACGTCAGAGAGCTGATATTTGACCTCACTGTGATGTTGAGTTCTAGTTTTGTACTCGCCAATGAGGAGTACATTCTTTGGGAATTAGAGTATAACATGCTAACATGCTCATTATGAACAATGATCATAATGCACGATGCGAGGTGCTGCACAGTTAAGCATTATAGCGGAACGTGATTACTCGTTTTTTTTTAAATGCCTTTGTTATTATATTTTGACATTGTCCATTAAATTGTTCTTAGTATTTCTTAGTTTCAGACTCAAATGTTTTTCCTCATTTAGTCAACTAAGAAATTGGTCACCAGGAACATCCAACCCCTGGTGGTAATGACCCACGCCTTTTTTCACACCTTGGCTCATGTAATGAGGCACATGATTAAAACAGGTCAACAACACTCTTAAGGGACAACCCCCACTAGGGCTTCAATCCCTGGGACTGGTTTTAGATTTAAAGCTCTAGGGTTTAAAGTTTGTCTGCTATTATTGTAGCCAAACAACTTTGAATTCACACCATTTGCAGATGAGTTTTTGAAAGAATGACAAACTTACATATATCATTAGGTGTATAAATGTACACCACTAAAGTGAATTTTAAATCAAACAATCAATATGTAATCTACCGTACTTTTTGGACCATAAGGCGCACCGGATTATAAGGTGGACTGTCAATGAACGGGTCTGTTTTCATACATAAGGTGCACCTGATTATGAGCATTAAGCAAACAAAGCAGTCAGATAAATCAAACTTTACTCAGCTCATTCTTCTTGCTTCCTCCACTTCTGTACCATTGATTCATTAATGTTGAATTCTCTCACAGCTGCTCTATTCCCATGTTGTTGCAGTATATTAATGACTAACCTCGTACTGTGGATGAATTATCTCAGTTGTTCTGACTGAAGTTTGGTCCGTTTACAGCATCCTGCCATGCGATTGCATTTGTCTCTAACCATCAGGAACCTTCACGTTAACTTTTATAAGTGGAAAAGTGTTAGTGTTCGTCCTCCAGCTTCACTGTTTATGTTATGCTAACATAGCTGTGTAGCTAGCGATCACGTAGCACATCATTATAAACCAGCTAGCCCAACTTCACTAACCCTACAAACGTCACTGCTGTTTAGTTTCCTGTCTTCATTTATGTTGGAAGTGATAGCAGAGCTGTACGTTTGAATTATTTCAGAAACCTCTCAGTCAGAACATGTTTAGGTGGAAGCTAGCGAGCTAACTTCCTGCTAACGTCTAACTCTGTTATATTTAATAAATTCTGTTTTCATGGATGCCTGCATGTTAAACTTAATAGTTACACCTGGTAAAGCAGCAACACTGATGATTTTATTACAGATGGAAGAATTTAGACTGTTTTTACTTCTCAGTGTTCGTTTGACTTTAGGACCTCAAGAAGAAGGAGTTTAGGACCTGAAGAGACGGCGTTTAGGACCCTGATCACTCCGCGAGGCTCCTGACTACAGTAGCTGTAATGCTCCAACAATCCATCAAGCGGTGCGGCTTCGTAGCTTAGCAAAGTCATACTAAAACATTTTTGACAGATTTTTGAGCGCCGTGTAGCACATAAAATCAGTTTGAGGTCAGTAAGCACAACCAGAATTCATACATAAGGTGCGCTGTCGATCTTTGAGAAAATTAAAGGATTTTATATATATATAATCCTTATATTGCAGAAAATACGGTAAGTGCACACTTCAAATTTAAATTCAAGGTATTTAACAAATGTACTATATGAATTGTTATGTTATTACAGCCAATTTTGTATATTGTCTACCATCTCCAAAAACTTAAAATTAACAAAACTGTCTCTGTCTATATATTGTTTTTTAAGTATAGGTTATATATACTTGGCTACTCTGACTGGTATGATAGACTCCTTTACTTGCAACAACATCTCTCTGGACCTCGTGTTGAAAGTTCCATTAAAAATAATAATATACAAATCAATGAGTTCAGTGCTTGGAACAACAGATATTTTATCTGTGTCATTTATCATAGAATAGCATGGGAACAGGCCTCAGCTAGCTGTGAGACTGCTTTCAGTTGTTCTTGTACTATTCATGGAATAGAAGCTTACAAAAATGAAAGACCAAGCAGCCAATGTTCTTTTGCAGCCATCTGTGTGCATCACACTTTGGCCTGAGATGCTACATGAGGGTGCACAAAACAATCAGTGCTAGGATCGACTTTACTGACCATGGTAGTTGACCATACATGCTGTTTACACTGTGGTATGAACTGTAACACAGGCTTAGCTAGGGAAATACCTGCTGCTGTTGGTGAGCAACTCTGTTCCACGACTCCAGAACAGACTGGGCTTCGGGGCAGCTCGAGGGCGACAATCAATCATCACCTGTCCCCCTCTAGCTGCTGGAATAAGCTTCCTTACTGGATTCAACCGGAAGTCTGGAGCCTGAACTGAAAGGAAGAGACACACAAGGATAGGGGAACAAAAGAGAGTGGTGCATTGCTGTCAATTGTATCTCCTGTTTGTTTTAATCCAAAGAAAAATAAATACGTTTTTTTACACGTAATGGCATGCTTTTATTATGTTGTCTTTAGGAATTATCAATACACCTTTTTACAGGTAAAAGTAGAATAGATTGAAGTAACAAGAGTCCTATTTATGGGCCAGTAACTAAAGAAACAGGTATCTGTGTCTATCACACAGACATAAGTGAGAATGCTGAGACAGTGACAGTCAGTGAGAAGGACTCTCGCTGGGGTCAACCCACAAAAAGTTACTGGACCAGACAATATATCTGGACGTGTGCTCAGAGCCTGTGCCAACCAGCGGACATTTTCAACATCTCCCTGAGCCAAGCTGTTGTGCCACAGTGCTTTAAAAACACCACCATCAGACCAAACTGGACCCACTACAGCTCACATACCACACAAACCGATCAATGGATCTCAGGTTGGACATACAAGATCCATCACACTGAGCAAAGGAACTGTGTTCGACCCCTCCAGAGGATTGTGTGGAGCACATTGTTGGCAGCTCTCTACCCAGCCTACTGGACATTTATACCTCATGCTGCATTCATAAAGCCACTACCATCATGGCTGACCCGCATCACCACCCCCTCCAACTTTTTACTTCTCCCCCCATCCAGAAGACGACTCTGCAGCATCAGGAGCAGGTTGGCGAGATTGTGCAATAGCTTTTCCCCCAAGCAGTCCGGCTCCATGCTGCCCCCCTCCACACTGGACTCTCTTCTCCACACACACTTCTTTGGACTACATAACACTTTCCTCTCACTGTCCTCTGTGCATCTTCCTTTTGTTTTGCATATTATAATTTGTATTTTTATTGTGTTGTGGTTTGCAGTGTTTTGTGTTGTTTCACTTTTAATTAGTTTAAAAGGAAAAGGCTGAAAATTTAAATAGTTAAAAGTTGAAATGTAAATAGTTGGTCTTTGTATTTTATAATTTGTTTATTGCATTTTATGTGGAGTAAATAAATAAAAGTATACTTACGGTGGCCCCTAGAGACAAAGCCCGTACAAACTCCGAAGCATGTGAAACCTCCAAAACACAACAGAAGTGCTCCAGGATGCTAGGGGGCAGTGTGGAGCTTTTGTTACC